CCCCCGGGACCAAGGTCGCCCAACTTGGGGACTAAATCTGGCACTATCTCGGGTCCTACCCGCGCGCAGAGCGCAAAGGATGTGCGACCCGGTGAGCTGGGGGAAGCGCGGAGGCCACGCCCTCCACCTGCGGGGCCCAAGGCCCATCCGTGCCACAGGGTGCGGACTGGAAGGTCAACGTGATCTGGGCGCCGGATCCCAAGTGTAGTCGCGAGATGCTGACTCGGGAGGCCGCATGGCCCACTACATCCCTTCTACCCAGATCAGCGCCAGAGAGGCTGACGCCCTGCCCCCTCCCAACCAGATTAGGGGGGTTTCCACACTGGTAAAATGATTTCTGGGCTCTTCTCTCGAGGCCCCTGTTCCAGCCCTGTCGTCTATTCTACACTAATGCACACCTAGTGGGTCTATGTGAGCAGCAGCGCTGAGCCTGAGGAGACCATGGCTTTGCTGCTGATGGGTGGGCGGCAGGCAGGCACATCTTGGACCAGGGGCCATCCCTTCTTACTCTAGAAGGTGAATCCCAGGGCCCCAGATGATGCTCCCAACTTCTTGAATCTCATGCGCATCCTGAGACACTTGGGAACTGCTTATGTCTGGGCCAAAGCTATTCTATTAAAACTTTATTGCTGGACTTACCTCATTTCTAAACGACTTTAAATAATTATGTGACTTAACAGTTTTGGGGCAAGATTGAAACAAACATCAAATTCCACTTGGTACCTTTCAGTATGCCTCAGGAAGAGCAGTGAGACCTGATGAACAGGCAAACATTGAGAGAGGAAACACCGGGTGAGGCTAGAGGCCAGGAGACAGTACACTTGGTTGGTCCTGTCTTCCCTGGCTCCAGACAGACCCTTCCCTGGCTTCTCAGCCCTGGTCCTCCCTTTAATTAAAGTTGGCCTTATGAACCCTGGAACTGGACCCCAACTTTCCCATCCCTAGAGCCTTAGGTGCATATACATAAACCCCTACTAGCCACATACTCCTTGGTAATCTGTAAGGTCATTGTTCTCCGAGCCCACACAGGATGCCACACTAGAAAATGCTCAGTGGAGGAACATGTGCTTAGCTTGTGTTTCATCTGCATGAGGCTGTGGGGCCAATCCCCACCACACACACAGACACACAAAATCCAGATATGGTGGTGCATACTTGTAATCCCAGCACTCTAGGAGGCTGAAGCAGAAGGACTGCCAAGTTCAGGCCCAGCCTGGATAACTTAGTGACTTGAAACCTCAATTCAATATTAAGAAAAAATAAAAAGGCCGGGCGTGGTGACGCACACCTGTAATCCCAGCATTCTGGAGGCTTGAGGCAAGAGGATCGATGTGAGTTCGAGACCAGCCTGGACTACATAGTGAGTTCCAGGTCAGTCTCAACTACATAGTGAGAACCTGTCTCAAAAAACCAAAAATAAGGGCCGGGGATTTAGCTCAGCGGTTCAGTGGCCTGCCTTGCAAGCGCAAGGACCCGAGTTCAATCCCTGGTACCAAAAAAAAACCAAAAAAAAAAAAAAGAAGGGTTGAAAATGTAAAATATATATCAGTGTAAAATTCCTGGTTTATTCCCCAGTACCAGGAAAAAAAAAAAAAAAAAAACTATTTGGCAGCCTAAGCCCTTCTTTTATACCCTAGCTTTCCCAGGACTCTGTCTACCAAAAAGAGGCCTTGCTGCAGGGCAGCCTGGGAAGCAAAAGCCCATGGCTCCTGAACTGATTTTCCTATTGTCTCATCCTCCGATTTTGTACAAGTTACCTGAGAAAAGCCCCAACTCTCCAAGCACCCTGCCCACCTCCACCACTGAGAAAGTAAAATAGGTGCTGTGCCAAGCTCATCCTGGACATCCCTGTGGCTTATGGCTCCTCCAAGACCAGTTTTGCCATTTTCTCCTTTCAGGTCATGACGGATGAACCTCAAGGTGGGGACAGCACAGGTGCAAGGGACAAAAAGAATGGGAATTAACTGGGATAAGGTCAGGTAGGGACCTGGGCCTTGTCTTGGGGGTGCATAAGGGACCTCTGTTGTAGGCTGAGCCTTAGGTTCCTGCCAGTCCCCACAGTGGGAGGATAAGGAGACATGTCTACCCCCAGAGCCTGCTCTCCCAGCTTTTCTCAATTTTTGGTACCGGGGATTGAACTCAGGACCTTGCACTTGCGAGGCAGGTAGTGGTACCACTGAGCTAAATCCCCGGCCCTCTCCCAGCTTCTGCTCATGCTTGGATAACTGGGCCTTGGACTGTGCCATCTGGCATTCCCCAAGCCCTTGCCCTGGGAGTCACTTGCACTCAGCCAAGGAATATAGTCACCAGGGTGTAGATGTCATTGCAGGAGCAGGAGGACCTCACTTGCCCAGGAAGGAGCTGGGTGAGTTTCTCCATATGGCGGTGTTCTGTGAAGAAGCAGAGGACACCAAGAGTTAATTTCAACCTCATATCCTATGTCTTTATGAAGGTGGTTTGTCAAGGATGGGAACCAGAAAATTGTGTTCCTCTGTTTCTTGGGAGGGGGTACTGGGGATTGAACTCGGGTCCTTGCGCTTGCATGGCAGGCCACCAAACCGTTGAGCTAAATCCCCGGCCCTTCCTCTGTTTCTTAAAGTGACAAAACTATTCAAGAGTTAGACAGGCTGTGAGCCTCCATTCATGCAATTGCACTGGCTCTGGAGTATTGGCACTGGCCTGCCCACCTGTGTTTCAGGAAGTGTATCCGGTCTCCACCTGGACCCTGAGGAAGCCTTGGCCGCTCTGTGGGCACAGGCTGCTCTCCAAGGAGATGGCCCACAGGGCTCCTGTGCTGTTGCTGCTGCTGCTCCTCCCACCCCGTTCCAAGGGCTGCCCTGCTGCTTGCCGCTGCTACAGTGCCACAGTGGAGTGTGGTGCCTTACAGTTGCGCGTTGTCCCACAGGGGATACCCCCAGGGACACAGGTGGGCAGTGCGTGTAGCTACCACGCCTTGGGACTGGAGGAGGCACATGCGCAGGGGCGGGTGGGTAAGGGTGATCACGGAGAGCAGAAGGCCCTGTCCTGGTGTAAGCATGCCCCTCCCCTGGCCCACAGACGCTGTTCCTGCAGGACAACAGCATCGCACGCCTTGAGCCTGGTGCCCTGGCTCCACTTGTCTCTTTGCGCCATCTCTACTTGCACAACAATAGCCTTCACGCCCTGGAGTCTGGTGCCTTCCGTGCGCAGCCCCGCCTACTTGAGCTGGCGCTGACAGGCAACCGGCTGCGCGGCTTGCGCAGAGGCGCCTTCACAGGCCTAGCACATCTGCGTGTGCTCTACCTGGCAGGCAACCAGCTGGCTCGGCTGCTGGATTTCACCTTCTTGCACCTGCCGGTGAGCGCCAAAGGCCTAGAAGCAGGTCCTCCTCTGCCTGTGCAAGTAGCCCTGCTGGCTGTAATGGGAAAAAATTCAACCCAGCCTAGCTTCCCAGGTTATTTTTTCCTGATTATTTCCTGTCCCTACTTCAGCGACTGCAGGAGCTACATCTTCAAGAAAACAGCATTGAACTGCTGGAGGACCAAGCCCTAGCCGGGCTCTCCTCCCTGGCCCTGCTGGACCTCAGCAGGAACCAGTTGGGCACCATCAGCCAAGAGGCCCTGCAGCCCCTGGCCAGCCTGCAAGTCCTGCGCCTCACAGGTAACTCTTGGGCAAGAGTCTCTACCTTGGCACCAATGGCAGCAGAAGGGAACAGGCCCAGGTATGGAGAGGGCTTCCATGGCAAACCCTTGGGTAGCATTTGGGAGGGATACACCATTGTTTTGAAGCCGGTGTAGAGGACTGCCAGGAATGGGAAAGCTGGCAGAGACACAGCTCTAACCAGCATCTACCTAAGGAAGACAGACACAGGGTGACTTGAAAGTACCAAAGTTCTTGAACACTTTGAGGTTATCAGAAAGCAGGCAGGCTAAACAGAAAAGAGACAGCTGGCCAGGATTGGGGGCATTTCCAAGAGAGGGAATCTGAGGTCAAGGTTTTAGTGCTGTTGGGATATCTATGTGGACACGGAGGTTCCCCAAAACAGTGAGACTTATTTGGGTGAGAAATTTCAGAGGAGCAGAAGCTTTCTCAGGGACAGGCAATGAAGGGCCTGCCATCACCCCAGGGAGCTTGGAGTCAGAGAAGAGATGACAAGGATCCTGGATTCTGGTGAGATGCTCTGGGAGATGGAAAAGGGGTTTCTACCTGTGCCTGCAGAACCCCAACTCCTTAGGCTCTGTTCTGTTCTGCCTGCAGAGAACCCTTGGCGCTGCGACTGTGCCTTGCACTGGCTGGGTGCTTGGATCAAGGAAGGGGGCCAGCGACTGCTTAGCTCCAGAGACAAAAAGATCATGTGTGCTGAGCCCCCTCGCCTGGCGTTGCAAAGTCTCCTGGATGTATCAGGCAGTAGCCTCATCTGCATTCCACCCTCTGTACACGTGGAGCCGCTGGAGGTTACAGCCAACCTGGGAGAGGACTTGCGGGTGGCCTGCCAGGCCTCGGGCTATCCGCAGCCCCTGGTAACCTGGAGGAAGGTGCCCCAGCTTCGGGAAAACCAGCCACAGACCCAGGCCCAGTTGGAAGGCTGGGCACCAGGCCTGGATGGGCACGGAGCTCCTGACACCGGCAGTGGCATGCTCTTCCTCACCAACATCACACTGGCGCACGCCGGCAAATACGAGTGCGAAGCCTCCAATGCTGGCGGTGCTGTGCGCGTACCCTTTAGCCTCCTAGTCAATGCCACCCGGCCACACCCGCCGGTCTCTCCTGCCCCGGCCGTGCTCCCCGACGGCCACGAGCCGCAGCACGAGGAGGGTAGCATGGCCTTCCGAGCCCTGGGCCTTGCCACACAGACGGCCATCGCGGCAGCCATCGCATTGTTGGCGCTAACAGCGTTGCTGCTGGCCGCCATGATCTGCCGGCGCCGGCGCCGGCGCAAAAAGGCGCGAGCGCCGCCGGGGGAAGGCACACTGTTCGTCAACGACTACTCGGACGGGCCTTGCACCTTCGCGCAACTGGAGGAGCTCCGCGACGAGCGCGGCCACGAGATGTTCGTGATTGATCGTTCCAAGCCTCTATTCGTTGAGGGGCCAGTAGAGACTCCAGAAGACGTAGGCACTACTGAGGGCTTGGCGCCGGGGTTCGGCCTCCCACCGTGCGTTGCATATGAGATCCATTGCTGAGTGTGTCGCGCACTGATGACGTATGCACCGGTAATTGGCCGGTGCGGTCCCTCAGTAAAGGTAGAAGCCGCAAGTTTGCCGAACCGTGTGTATAGTCCCGCTCACGAGAGTCCTAAGGTTGCGTGGGAATGAAGCCAGAGAAGCCCCCAGAACCCCTTTTACGGGGAAGAATGCTGCCCCTGGCCAGATGCTGTTAGGGTCAGCAACGAGGCAGGGGCGGTGCGGACAGGCAAGATGATGGTTGTTGCCCAGTGGGTATGCAGGTGTTAACAGCAGAGATTGAAACAAGGCACTCTGACCAATTAGGACAGAAAAATCAGCCAGAGATCTAAGTTCCAGATAAACCGCACATTTGTACCTTCATAACACCCTCCAGTCCCAGAGCTAGCTGACAGGTTGGTTTGCATAGGAGGGCAGGGAACACAGTATGAGGCCTCAAGACTAGATGGGCCCCCAAGCCTCCCTAAAGCAGGCCCCCATCGTGACTTTGACCTATGCAGTTTTGGGAAGGGAGAGACTACTGTCCAAAGCTCATGGCTAGGGTCCCAGGAATATCCACAGAGAGGGCCACTACTCCAGAGTACAGCCACACTGAGTAGGGTAGTACAGGCCTGAAATCCAGCTCAGGGCCCATTTAGGAAGTAGGTGCAAGGCAAAGTGAAAGACACAATAGGGAATGGGAGGCTCGGGGTGTGCCAAGGAGCAAGGCAGACCCTGCAAGAAGCCTGAGACCAGTGCCTTCATGTCAGGCCTCCAGGAGAATCCCAACAAAGGCTCCTGACCTGTGTATCATCCAGACACTGGAGATCACAGGCTAAAATAGTCTGCAGCCAGGCGTCCATAGATGTCTGTGGTCCAAAGCACATGGGCACGGCCTGAGGCCAGCAGTAGCTGGTGCAACTCAGCTTCTACACGAGCAAACTTTTCCTCATTGATGGAGGCCTCCAGCAGGACAGATGCAGGAGGTGGCCAGGGCAGACCTTCGTAGCAGTCCACAGGAAAGGGATGCACCACAGTGCGCAACTCAGCCTGCACCACTGAGTCCCGCAGCAGTTCTTTAAGGCCAGCTATGGATAATGGATTGCCATAGAGGCCAAGGTAACGGAGATTGGCACAGCGAGTCAAGGTGGGCAGTGTGGCCAGTAGCTGGACATCAGCAAGCTGGCACTCAGTCAGCTCAAGATGCAGCAGTGTAGCCCCTGCTGCCTGCAAGAGACCCTGGAAGGGTGTCAGCTGGCTGCCTGACAGGTCATTCCCACTCAAGTCCAGCTTTTTGAGGTGGGCAGCGTGGGAGCTCCGTGCCAGGAACCGAAGGTCCTCAGGCACCAAAGCACAAAAGGCCAGCTCCAAACTCTCCAAGGGGCTCTGCAGGGTGCTGTGGGGACATAGGGTCACAGACAGGCAGACCTAAGGGAGGGTCCTCACATTAGGGAAACACAGAGCAGTAGTGGGCCCACTCACCTGAGCAGTTGGTCCAGCCTGCCTGAAAGGAGAGAAGAACCCATGCTGAGCTCCCGAAGACAGGTGAAGCGGCCCATCTGAGCCAAGAAGTAGCGGAAGTTGTCCTCGCCATCCACAGAGGGCTGCCTTGAATCCCCATGTACATAGTGCAGCCTCAGGCTGGCCAATTGCTGAAAACGGGCCACATGTGGGATGATGACAGACAGGCCACGCAGGCCCAGGTTGTTGAAGCGCAGGTCCACACGGCGCAGGCAGCCTGCATCCAGAAGCTGCAGCAGGGCCACGGTATTACGCATGGGCAGGTCCTCGGCCCGGAGATCCCGGCAGCAGAGCCGAAGTGGGCTGCCTAGGCTGCTTCGGAGTGCCTCACGAAGGAATGCATAAGAGGCCCGGTTCACCCGAAGGTCCACACGAACCTCTACAGGGACAGGAGCTGGCCCATGCTCAGCACTCCTACCCTGCTGCTGGGCAATGCATGTGCGGGCCACAGCTGCTGTGCAATCCCACATGCTCATGGTACCGGGGTCCTGCTCCACACCATCATCCAGGAGACCAGTCATATCCAGCACCCGAAGAGCATGCTTCCTGGGAGCAGGAATGGTCTGAGACGGGATGAGGGGACAGGGGAAGGACACAAACCCACTCCCACTCCCACACCCAGCTACCTTGGAATAGAAGCAATATACCTGGTCCCATAGTGAACTCTTGCTAACCCCAGGACCCCAGCCTAGACCTTCTTTGCCCCACCCCCCTTGTACTCCCAAGCTGAAGGGCCCCTCATGTAAGCCCATACCTGCAGAAAGGTTGTGTGCCAGCCTCACCCTCTGTGGTGTGGAGCCGAGCAGTCAGCCCCAGGATCACAGCCTGCATGCTCTCAGTGCTGGGTCGCTCCTGCAGCAAGGCCCGGCTGCAGTGGGCACATTCCTGCAGCAACTGCTGGAAGCTGAGCAGTGGGAAAGGCCATGTGTGTACCAACTCACGAAGTACAACTGTCTTCTTGTCCATGAAGGCCACCTTGAACAGCAGGGGGAAGAGTTCTCGGGGCAGCAGGGGCAAGGCCTGGCAGGCAGCTGACTGACACTGGAGCACCTGCCGAATGCTCAGGAACACAAGTGTGTGCATGGCGCTGGGCTGGGCAGGCAGCCACCTGCAGAAGAGGGGCTTTCAGTGGAGAAGACCAACCCTAAGCCACTACCAGGTCCCCTCCATATACCAGTGGTGAGAAAGCCCAATATGGTGCCTGGCATATAGAGTTGCCAGTCAGTGGAGGATAGCACAACAGAGGAGCACCTCTTAGATGCCTAGTACTGGGCTGCACCCAGTAGACAAGGGACAAGGCCACACCCCAGTCACCAACCTCCAATAGCATGCGGCTTCTTTAGGAAAACAAAGCATCAAGCAGTACATAAATGGGATGGCACCATCAATAACCTGCTTGTTTGTGTGTGCTTCTGACAGAAGGTGGTCGCTCTGCAGGTCTCCCATTGGTACTTCAGGCTTCCCAAATCACAAAGCTGCTTCAGAAATCCTTCTCAAAAGTAGAGCAAAGCTCGGTCCCAACCCTCAGACCTTCACGCCTAGAAGGCCCCAGGAGGCCAGCAGCCACATCATGTTTCCCTCTCTCACCTTCCTTACAGATGTGCTCAAGGGCTGTCCTTGGAATCCACGAAGCACAGACACAGCTTAATAAACACCAGGGCCGATAAAAAAAGGAGCAGAGGCCAGGAAAGAGTCCAAATAATGTGACCCATGAGAGCAAGGACCTCAGTGTGAGCCCCACAGTAAACTACTATTTTCTGGGAAGTCACCAGGCATAGAAACCCCTGAGAAAAAGCTTCTCACCTTCAGTGGTCCTTTCCACCTGCCTAGTCATCTCTCTTGCCTGAGGAACTAATGTGAGGAGAAACCAAGAGACTTAAATCCATGGGATACAGAGGGCTCAGGCCTGGGATTCCTCAAATAAAGCAGAGACGGCTGCCAAAGCAGCATCCAAGCTGAGAAGACGCACACAAACGACCCTTGAGGCCATCAGGATATATCTGCGACATAGGGCTGATTTTAGCGGACTTCCCGTGCGCCATGCAACTACACCATCATCCCCTTCTGACAGTTTAGAAAGCTAAGGCCAAGGACACAGCTCTCGGAAGGGGATGGAGACCAGACCGACTGCAGGTCCCCTGCGTTTGCTGACCTGGTCACACACAGCAAGTCCTTATGGAACCGGTTCCTGAGAAATTCCGAACACCCACCCTCGGCCTGGCTCTGCCATGCTCAAATCTCGCGAGGATGCTGCCGATCTCGAAGACAGGACAGACTCACCGAGCACCTGTCACGAGAAGAAATGAAAGCAGCCCGTCTGGCTGCCAAGTGAGGTGCCTCTAGGCGACGCCCACGCCGGGCCGGCAGCTCTCGGGAAAGCAGCGGCCCCAGCGCCGCAAGGAGCGCAGACGCCCCCAACAGGCTCTTCCAGGCCTCACCCGAGGCCTAAACCGAATGCCTCTCCCCCGTTAGATTGGCCTGCTCCTTCGATCAGGCGCGTCCCAGCCTCAGAGGCACTGCCTGGCCTCCGGCGCCCAGCCTCCCAACCGCCAACCCCGCCTCCTCGGCTAGGCCGCCCGCCTCCTAACGCTCCTCCCTAGGTGACTCTGATGCCTGCCCAGTTGAACGCACTCACCTGCCCCACAGCAGCCGTCATAGCCTCCTGCCCCGCCTTTACTCCAGATCGATCCCGCCCAGCGCCGCGGCGCGCCGCGATGACGTTGCACCTCCCATTGGCTGTTCCTCCAGGGCCCTGCTGATTGGCCTTCCGACCTAGAAGGCCCGCCCATATATGCTACTCTTGCTCCCATTGCTTGGCTTCCGGAAGACTCCCTAGCGGCGGGAAATTCGCTGGGCGCGAGACCTGGATGCGATGGAGCAGCTGTGGAACTTGCGGGCCCGCCTGCAAGAGTGGGAGCGCTCGTTCGCTGTACAGCACGGGCGGCGGCCGGGCCAGGTGCGGCCCTCCCAGAGGTGGGGTTGAAGTCTGATGCCGTGGCCTCTGGCTGACTTGCTCCCTTCACAGGAGGACGTGGAAGCGGCGCCTGAGGAGACCCGCGGTGAGCGAGTGCGCTGCCAGGATGGGAGGAGACGGGGTGACCGTGGAGCTACGGGGCCCCGTCCTGACACCGACTCCCTCCCTCCCACCCCAGCTCTCTACCGCAAGTATCGCGCCCTGAAGCAGACTATGAGCCAGAGGGGCGGTGGGCCCCACAGACCCAAGCAGTTACTCTCCACTGCAGCCAAGGAGGTACCCACATCCGGAACCCCAGCCTCCTGGTTAGCTTATTGCGAGGCCGAATGGCAGGAGTCAAGGGAAATCACAGCCAAGCCCGCATGGGTGCAGACTTGAAAGGAGAACAGGGCAGAGTGGGGAAGGGCCAGACTATCCTGCTGTTCAAGAATTGGAGGCCCATCTATTCCAGGTCACCCTTTCTCTGGTCTGGGTTGTTTCTGTCTTCTGCAGGCTCCAGAGTCTGGCTGCTGGGGATCCCACCTGAATCGGGCTGCAACACAGAATCCACAACCTGCTCCAGTGCTGAGCCCCCAGGGAACTGCACAAGAGTATGGGAAGAGACTTAAGACCAATCTGAAGGTCACTCTGCAGGTACGAAATGAAAGTAGACTAATAGTGCATCCAGTCTAGGCCCAAAGCTGCCCATGGCTCTTGGTTCATGGCAAGTTCACCAAGTGCTTTTTCTGTCCATCCTTCAACCTGTGTGTACACTCAGGTATCTTCTCCTGTGGTAACCAGGGCCTGACTGCTGAAGGGTGCTCTGGAGCAGTCTCTGCTTCAGCTTGCTTCGTGTCCCAGCTTTGTGCCCTTCTCTAACACTGAGGGGTGGGGACTCAGGCAAGTTTCTGAGTCTATAGCAGCCCATGGCCTGAGTCTCTGCTTACTGTTTCGTTTTGTTTTTTCCATCTTTTCTTTTCTTTCTGCTTACTGTTTTCTCTTCCTGTCCCAGGCTGAGCCAGCCCTGGGCTGCAGGCGCCAGCCTCCAGGAAGACTCTTGTCCAAGATGCCCACCCTAAAGCCAGTAGGCCCAGGGACTCCTCCCGCCTCTCCAGAAGAACTCATCAGTGCACTTACCAAGCCTTCTGAGCCCCAGCCAAGGCCAGGACGACTCCAGCAGCTTCGGGCATCCCTGAGCCTACGGCTGGGCTCCCTACACCCTGGCTGGTTGCAGCGGTGTCACGGTAGACCCTTGGATTCCCTGGAAACCTCTGAGGCCTGTGGCACAGAGGAGTCACAATCTCTGACCCCAGGGGAATTGGCAGTCTTTGGCTCCAATACTTGCCCTGAGACACCTTCTCAAGGCCCAGATGTGCCACAGGCAACACAAACCAGTGCAGGGAGGCCCCAGCTCAGCAGCCATAGAGTCAAGAAGCGAAGGTGGACTAAGGAGAATGGCAGCAGTCCTGTGCCGGCCCTGTTGGACAGCAGCCAAGCAAGACTCCAGTCTGAAGGGGCTGGGGCTGCAGTTTTTGAGGACCCAATAGGGGGTGCTATACAGGCCCAGCCATCTCAGCTGTACTGTGGCACTTCAAGGCCAGCTAAAGCAGAGAAGGCTGAGATCACATCCCGCCCCCACACCTCTCAAACAACCACCCTGGAGAAGGGTAACTACGTTCGGCTCAACATGAAGCAAAAACGATATGTGCGGGGTGGAGCCCTTCGAGGCAGGCTCCTCCGAAAGCAGGTGAGACAGGCAGGACAGGACAGAGTGAGCATCTCCTTGTCCCTCCATCTTCCCACGATTCTTCCTTTTGAACCCTTCCCAGGTATGGAAGCAGAAGTGGCAGAAGAAAAGAGAGCATTTTGGGGGTGGAGGGCCCAGAGCCATAGTTGAGGAGTCTTGTTTCCGATGTGGGCAGTTTGGCCACTGGGCATCCCAGTGCCCTCAGCTAGGTAAGCCTCTACCCTGAGGAACTGGGTGGAATACTACGTAATAAGGGTACCATACTCTTGGGGAGCAAAAGGCCTTACTAGCTTTCTACTCCTGGCCCAGGACCCACCTTGCCTCCCCAGAAGGACGGTGATGAGGACAAAGATGATACACAGACTTTTCCCACTGTGGAGGAAGTAACCCAAAGGATAAATACTGCTTGCTTCGACCTCCCCAGTGAGTAGGAAGAGGAAGGTGATTGTGGCCTGTGACTGTGGTGCCAGGCTGGTCTTGTCTGAGATTATGGTCCCCATGTCACCCTTTCTACTCTGCCCTTGCAGGTAAGGACACAGAGCCTGCTGGGCCTGAGTTACAGGTACCACACACAGTCTCCTCAGTGCTGCCTTTGTACCCACCAGGGCCCTCTGGGCAGGTAGTAGGTGAGCAGAAACCTGTGAGTCTCCAAGAGGTGGGGAGATTCAGGAGTTATGGTAACCAATATCTGTGTCCACAGAGACACCAGCTGAGGTATTCCAGGCCCTGGAGCAACTCGGACACAAAGCCTTCCGCCCTGGGCAGGAGCACACAATCATGCGAATCCTGTCTGGTAAGTGGGACTACCTGGGGCTGGGCTGGATAGTAATGTGCCACAGAGCCTTGCAGCTGCCTCTTGTCCTGCCCAGGCATCTCCACACTGCTGGTGCTGCCCACTGGCGCTGGCAAATCCCTGTGCTTCCAGCTTCCTGCACTGCTATATGCCCAGCGTAGCCCCTGCCTCACACTTGTTATCTCTCCCCTCTTGTCTCTCATGGATGATCAGGTGTGTGGATGGGGCCCTCATTACCTGTAGATGGCTAAAAACTGATGCCTATGATATCCTCAGGCTGCTTCCTATTCCCTGAACCCACTGAAATCTGCAAGATACCTGGCTGATCTCTACCTGAGAGTATCAAAGCCTGACCTCAGCACCCACCAACCAGGCCCAGCTAGGGACCTCAACCAGGACCCAGGATCTGGTGCTTTTTCTCCTGGAGATCCTGCTGGGTTAAGCAGCTCTGGGAGGATTCAGGAGAGGGCTGGGGCTGGGTTGGGCTGGGCTGGGCTGGGCTGGGCTGGGCTGGGCTGTGACAGCATTGCCTATGTCTGCAGCTATCCAGCCTGCCTCCATGTCTCAAGGCTGCCTGCCTCCATTCAGGCATGACCAAGAAACAACGAGAGTCTGTCCTACAGAAGGTCAGGGGACACTCCATGGACTGGGGGCAGTGGGGAACACAATTTGGGTAGTGCCACTGACATTGCTGCTTTCAGGTACAGGCAGCCGAGGTCCATGTGCTGATGCTGTCCCCTGAGACATTGGTTGGGGCTGGTTCCAGGGGCCCTATTAGCCTCCCTCAGGGTGCCAGGCTGCCCCCAGTGGCCTTTGCCTGCATTGATGAGGCCCACTGCATCTCTCAGTGGTCACATAACTTCCGGCCTTGCTACCTGCGCATTTGCAAAGTGAGCCACATGGGGCCAGCATGGGTGGGTGGGGCAAGGCCCATATGATTCTGAATGGCTTTCCTACTACCCTCCTCCTGGTGTAGGTGCTTCGGGAGTGTATGGGTGTGCAGTGCTTCCTGGGCCTAACAGCCACAGCCACCCGTCGCACTGCCCATGATGTAGCCCAACACCTGGGAGTAGCCAAGGAACTGGGTCCCAGAGAGGCAGCTGTCATTCCTGCCAACTTGCATCTGTCTGTGTCCATAGACAGAGACCCAGAACAGGTAGATATGTGCACACCAGGGGCCAGGATGGGGATCCCACCTCCTATGGCCAGCCTGGACAACACTGCTCTTCACCAGGCTCTGGTGACACTGCTGCAGGGTGACCGTTTCCGTACTCTGGATTCTATCATTGTTTACTGTAACCGGCGTGAGGACACAGAGAGAGTTGCTGCACTCCTCCGAACCTGCCTATTTGCAGGGCAGGACCCAAAGCTCAGAGGTAGGTACAGGCAAGGCTGGGTCTCCCAAATAGAGCCCAGCACATGTGCTTTTGTCCCACCAATATCAGTTTCCCCAAAGGTCGAACCCCCACAGATGTGGCTGAAGCTTACCACGCTGGCATGTGCAGCCGGGAGCGGCAGCGAGTGCAGCGGGCCTTCATGAAGGGTCAGCTGCGGGTCATAGTGGCCACAGTGGCATTTGGGATGGGGCTGGATCGACCAGATATTCGGGCCGTGCTGCATCTGGGGCTGCCCCCAAGCTTCGAGAACTACGTCCAGGCTGTGGGCCGTGCTGGGCGTGATGGACAGCCTGCCCACTGCCACCTCTTCCTGCAGCCCCAGGTAGTGTCCCACTGTTTTCTGTACCCTTCCTACCCTCACTTCTCTGGCCATATACTCATAACTGCTCTACTACAGGGTGAGGACCTCCGAGAGCTACGCCGTCATGTGCATACCGATGGTGCCGACTTTCTGGCCATGAAAAAGCTGATGTGGTGTGTGTTCCCGCCCTGCACCTGCACCCAGCAGGAAAGGAAGGAAGGAGGCAACAGTGAGACAAGGCCTGCAGCTGAGGCCCTGCCTCAGGAGGCCAAGCAACATGATGGCTGCCCAGCAGACTCTGGGCAGGGTCGGGCCTGCCCAGGACATGAGCGGGCACTCCCAATGCAGCCAACGGTGCAGGCCCTGGACATGTCAGAAGAGGGTGAGGGCCAGAGGATGTGGGGTGTGTGGAGGGGCTGTTCTTGCAGCACCCCCCTGACCTCAACTCTTCTCAGCCATTGAGACTCTGCTGTGCTACCTGGAGCTTCATCCACAACACTGGCTTGAACTGCTGCCAGCCACTTATGCCCGCTGCCATCTGTACTGCCCTGGGGGTGCCAACCAGCTCCAGGCCCTGGCCCGTAGGTGAGTATTCCCCATCCTAGGTTGGGGATTAGGGACAAAGCACCAGAACTGCTGGCTACCTGTCTCTTTCCCTGGGCACAGGTGTCCACCTGTGGCTGCATGCTGGGCCCGGTGGCCACCTGAGAACACAAAGCAGGGCAGCTGCTCCATGGAGTTCAATGTGGTGGAGCTGGTGGACTCAATGGGCTGGGAGCTGTCCTCCGTGCGGCAGTCTCTCCACCAGCTGCAGTGGGACCAAGAGCCTAGATCAGGTGTGCCCACCCCCACCTCACCCTAGGCCCTGTATTCCAATCAGCCACCTGTGACTGACACACTTCCTGGCAGGTATGCTGCAGAGTACTGGAGTGCTTGTGGAGTTTGGGGAACTGGCCTTCCACTTGCGCAGTCCTGGGGACTTGACAGCTGAGGAGAGAGACCAGATCTGTGACTTTCTGTACAGCTGTGTGCAGACCCGTGAGCACAAGGCTCTGGCCCGTCTTCGCCAAATATTCCAGGCTTTTCACAGGTGGGGAGGAGCGGGGCAAGGTCTGGGGCCACCCACTTGGCTCATAGGTAGCTCTGATATGCCTGTCCTGCTCTAGTGTGGCCTTCCCCAGCTGTGGGCCCTGCCTAGAGCAGCCTGATGAGGAGCGCAGTGCTCGACTGAAGGCCCTGCTCAGCTGCTACTTTGAGGAGGAAGAAGAGGAGGAAGAGGGGTGTGTGGACAGGCAGAGCCCAGAACCAGGGCAGGCCCAGGTGAGTGCCACCACTTTGAGAGTGGTTTCTAAGGAAGACAGCCATGATACACCTAACCTCCACTGTTTGGGTCCCATCCAGCCTGGCTCAAGGTTTCCTGGGTTGGGTTGTGTGGGGCATGATACCATGGATATACCAAGTCTGATGTGCCCACCTACCCATAGCTCCAGGACTGGGAGGACCAGGTTCGCCATAACATCCGCCAGCTCCTGTCCCTGCGGCCAGAGGAGAGTTTCTCAGGCAGGGCTGTGGCCCGAATTTTCCATGGCATCGGTAAGAGACCCAGGAGCTGCCTAAGGCAGGCAAGGACCAGGGACTGTAGCCAGCCCAGAGTCCTCAGGCCTGTCTTTGTGCCACTGTAGGAAGCCCCTGTTATCCTGCTGAGGTGTACGGGCGGGACCAACGCTTTTGGAGAAAGTATCTGCATCTAAACTTCCATGGTCTGATGCGCCTGGCCACAGAGGAGCTCCTATTGGCAGGCCGATGACTGCCCTCCTAGGAAAGTGCTTTCCCACAGGGAGACACTAGGCTGGGCCATGTGGCCAGTGACTGACCATTTGGCAAAGCCCACAAACAATCTTAAGGAAACAAGGAGGCTCCAGTGTACAGAATAAATGTGTTCAAGTCATTTTATGGGCTCTTCCTTCAAAGGAAGCCACTGTCAGTCTCAGGACAACTGCATCTCATATGTTGTAGACAAGCATTCAGCTGTAGACACAACTGACTTTGACAGCCCTGCTGCTCAGCTCAGCCTAAGGTGCTAGGTGCTAGATACAGGTCCAGAAGGGGCAGGGCTGAGAGCACAAGGAAGACACCAAAGCAGGGATTTGGACCCAGGCCATCAGCCAACACTCCAGCCAGGGTGCCCGGCAGCAGCTTGCCCAACAGTTCCAGTGTGGCCAAGAGGCTGTAGTGTGTGGCCTGGGGGTTGAAGTGAAGGTCAGGACCTATTGATTCTCCAGCCCTGCAACCCCTGGGTGTCCTTACCACATCCCCTCACCTGCAGGCCTCTGGGTGCCAGTTGGCTGCAGTGCATCATCACAGTGAAGGTGGTGGTGGTAACCAGACCCCCAAGAAAGTGCTGCAGACACAGACTCAGCAAGGCCACTCCTGGGAGGGCAGAGGTCAGAAGGGCCCAGGCCTCCTGGCCCTTCCCTCCCTCAGACCAGCCCCTCACCTCTCAACATGATGCCAGGGCCCAAAGTGGATCCTGGAGTGTCCAAGTGGAAAAGCAGGGCAGTCTGGCAGGCCAGGCCCCCGAGGCGAAGTCGCAGCACTGACCTCAGCAAAGGCAGCGGCTGCCTGGGGTGGGGATGGGAAGATGCAGGTCAGAGGATGCCAGATGAGGCCAAGGATGGTTGGAGAGAAGGTGGGGTAGGGAAGGCTCACCAGTGCCTGGTCAGTAGGGCCCCGCCCAGGGAGGAGCCAGCAATGGAGCAGGCTACAGCACCCAAGCCACTCCACAGCCCCAGCTCAGAGGCAGAAGCGCCATGGTCCAACAGGAGGAGTGGAAACAGGCTGCCAGCACCCTGTTCACCTGCAGGAAACTATGAGCAGCGATGGCCCCCATACCAACCCTGCCTCCCCTCTCCCCACCTGGGGCTTGTGTTCAACGGGGCAGGTCCCTGCCTGCCTCCATCTTCCTGGGCCACAGGTGCTGAGTCCATGATCAGCATGAAGCAACACCTGATCAACCCAAAGGGCTGTGGCTGGAGCTGAGGGAAGACGAGAGGCAGAGCCAGAACCCTTGCTGGGGCTGGGCCCCAGCTGGCAGATCATACCCCAGAAAGGTGATCAAAGTGTGTTCCAGAGCTCCTGGGACTCCAGTGCTGCCACTGCCTGACACAAAGGCCTCACTCACCCAACTTGTAGGTCAGCACAAAGCCTGCTGTCCACAGAGTCCCAGGCACAGCCAGCAAATCCTGCAGATGGCGGGGAGTGTGCTCTGAGGGTTGGGGCCAGGGCAGCTGTTGCAGAGCTGGTGCAGCCCAGGCCAGAGCAGCGGCTAGCCAGTAGGTGGCAGCCAAGAGTAGAAATAACAGTGGCCAAGAGAGACTGGGCAAGAGGGCCAGCAGCCCTCCCCCAGCGAGCGCTGACCCCAGCTTGTAAGCGACCACCTGCACGGTGTTGCCAGGTCCCAGCTCGGCTGGCTCCAGGAGCTGCACAGCCAATGTGTCCAGGGCCACATCCTGCACAGCCGCGCCCAGGTTCAGTAGTAGTAGCAGGCTCACTACGGTGGCGGGCAGCCCCGCCTGGCCAGACACGGTGAGAGGCAATGCGGCCAGTAACGCACACACCAGGCCCAGCGCCGCTGTGCTGAGTGCCAACCAGGCCCGCGGGGAGCCCCGCCTGTCTACCAGAGGTGCCCATGCCAGCTTGAACAGCCATGGTGCGTACAGCCCCTTGGTCAGCCCCACGCGTGAGAGAGAGAGGCCGCGGGCCCGCATCAGGAGAGGCAGAAGGCCAGACTGCAACCCATAAGGTAGGCCTTGCACCAGGTAAAGACCGGCTAATGGCAGCAGCTTTGCGCGCATGGCCAGAGTCGGGCGGTGTGGATTCTGAGGACTATGACGGGGTGCGGGCCCATCCGCACGGATTCACGGCTGCACGGCCGAGTACAGTTGGTGTCCACCCTCCAAAAGAGCCAAAGCTAGGGACAAGTAGAAGGGTAGACCAACGGTACTCTGCCAGACAGGAACTACAGACCCAGGCGCCTTCTTCCCTACCGAGCCCTCTGTTCTCCAGAGTCAGAAAGCGAGCTGGTTCGCGCATGCGCCCTAGCTCTGCAAGGCCGCGAGAGTCACCGAGGTGCTGACGAGCCTAGAGCGTTGCATCCCCAGCTCTCGGGCGCCCCCTGGCACCGACAGACTACTGGTAGCCAACATGGGAATCATCCTCCTGCTCAATGGTCAAGCTTCCCCACCCCTGGGCTATGACTCGCTCAGGGATGCTTCCCAGTGTCCACCCCAATGGAGGAGGCATCCTGTCTACTCATGGGTACTTCGGGCCCACTCCTTTGCTGTATGTGTGGCTTCAGCCCCCACCCCAAGGAAGTGGCCACAAAGGGCCACAAAAGGGAGAGAGGAGGCAAATGTGAAAATCTAGAGCCCAGGTTCAGCCAGGAGGACACAGCCAGCCACTGCCTGCGATCCCCACCACCACTGCCCCTGGTGTCTGAGACAAGGATAGACAGCCTGCTCAGTCAGGCCCTACCCTACCGGGGATGACCTTGTGTTATCTCTAGCCCAGAACCGTGGCCCCTGGGGACCCCAACGCTAAGATGAAGCCATGAAATAAGACCTTGGGTTAAGAACCAAGCCATCTTGAATGTTCAAGGATGCTTGGCCAGCTGTGTCACTGCAGGGAGAAATCCAGCACATTTCTTGGCTGCTGAGCAACTTTGAGTGGGTGTCCTGTCTTTCCAGATAATTTCTTGGCCCAAGTTTTTTCATGCATAAGATAGGAACTTCCATGTCTACCTCAGAGGAACACTGCAATTAGAATGCACCAAGCAGGCACTCATCCTGTGTTTTAGGGGCAAAGATGATGGGCCCTTCCCTGAGATGCTTATCAGCCCTCTCCACACCTCCCTGACAGAGGATTGCAAAAGAACCTCCCCCTGCTTCTGCCACACCCCATTGGGCAGGGTGTCTCCAGCCCACTGTTACTCCATTTTTGGCATCCAACCAACTCCTTCCTGCAGTTGGTACAGAAGGACTAAAATGAGGGATGCACCTTCTGTCTTCCTCAGGAAAGCAAACTAGGGCCAGGGATTTAGCTCAGTGGTGCCACCACCTTCCTCGTAAGTGCAAAGTCCCAAGTTTGATCCCAGCTAACCAAAAAAAAGAAAAAGAAAGAAAGTTGTTCCTGGTGTGTCCCTCTGGGACACATGCCTCTGTGATTCCGTAAAGCCTCTCACCTCCCTGAGGTTCTGCTGACCCAGGAGCCTGCCTTCATACTTTTTCAATTTATTAGTAAGGTCACCTGATTTTTTCATTTTTCTTTATTTCCCAGTACTGGGGGATTGAACCCAGGGCCCTATCAGTGAACTATATCCCCAGCCCTTAATTTTTATGTGAATGATCAATGTCTATAGACCAGAAACCACTGGAGACCCAGCCCAAGCAGGCAGTGTGTCTAGGACTAACAGGCAGACCCACTTTCTGGAAGTCCTCTTTGGCCACTTCTCCTGAAAGATGGGCCTAGTGTCCCTCATGCAAGGTTGCCCATGCAGGTGTGCCCAGTCTTCAGAGTCAGACTGGCACCCAGCTTTATTAAGGAACTGCAGAAGCAGGTGCCCAGACCCTGATGGTGGCCGCAGTAAGTCCCAAGGGCTCCAGACCTCTAGGTGCCTGGGCACAGTCTACAGTGTCCCAGCCTGGCTCCAGTAGTGGTTTTAGGAGTACTCTCGGGTGAACTTAGTGTGGAAACGGCTCAGCTTCTCCAGTAGCACCCGAAGCTTCTCCATTGGGGGTAGAATGGTCATTCTGAAAGGGGTGGATGATAAGCCAAGGGGCGGGGCCAGGCTCAAGGAGGGGCTGTACAGACTGGGCCTCACCGGAAGTGGTAGGTGCCTTCTCGTTGCCCAAAGCCGCTCCCAGGCACCACACAGATGCCAGTCTCCTCCAGAAGGCACATGCAGAAGAACATGTCTGGGGCCATGCCGAGCTCCTGGTATTGTGAAGGGCAGTCAGGGTACCATGCTCACCCTAATGCTCATCCCACCCCAGGCTGCCCTGCCAGCCCACCAGACCTGAGCACGATGCACTGCCCGTGGAGGCAGCTGCACACGTGGGAAGGAATACATGGCACCCTGCACTGGGTTGCAGTGGATCCCAGGAACTTCGTTGAAGACCTGCTCAGTGAGCTTGGCCTTGGCAGCCAGCTCCACCAGCACATCCTGCTTCTCCTATGGGCAAGAGGGGAGCGATCAGGGAGATGGAGGTAGCAGCAGACCCTAGCCACATGTTCACTTCTAGGCCAGACAACACAGCCCCACTGCTTACTGCCTGAAATTGCTGGAAGGAGGGGTCAGAGGGCGCAGGCGGGTTGACTACCATGTCCAGCAGGGCCTGGCCTGGCAATGGCGGACACAGCCGCACACTCATCAACTTCAGCATCTGCCGCTGCACCTCAGGGTCCATGTTTACCACCTCCACGTAGCCGCCACGGAACCCACACCTATGGCGGCAGGGTGGGTGTCACACTCGGGGCGGTGGCATCGTCCTTGGGCACACACCCCCGGGGAGGGCGGGCTGCACCTACTCGCCCATGTAGCCCTTGGAGACTGAGTGAAAGGAAGCAAGCTCCTGCTGCTCTGCGTACGGCGGCCCCATTTCCGTGAGCACCTTCTTAAACGAGTGGAAGCGTGAGCCCTCTGCATACACGTTGTCCTGGTACACCTGGCAGAGTATTGGCATCAGGCAGGCCGGCTGTGAGCAGCCCAGCTGCCCCCACCTCCGCCCCTGCCCTCACCTCGTCAGCCAACAAGAAGAGCCCCTCTTCAAAGGCGAAGCGGATCACAGCCTCGATGCACTCACGAGTCTGAACCTGCCCTGGGGTGCAGGGACAGCCGACACTTGGGAAGTGGTGTACGTTGGGGGGATGAGGCCCTCGGAGAGGAGCGGAGAGGAAGGGTGGAGAAGGGCGGTACGGGGGGGGGGCAGTCTTACCCGTGGGATTGCCCGGGTTGATGACGCAAAGTGCGCGCGGGCGGCAGTGGTCACGTGCCTGGTACAGCGCGCGCCGCAATTCAGCCACATCCAGCGCCCAGACGTTGTCTTCATCGAGGTAGTAGTCCACCTGCACAGCGTTCAGCTCGGCCAGCGTGGCAGAGTAGAGTGGGTACTGGGGAATGGGGATGAGCACTCCCGTACGCGAGAGGCCCTCACCAGCCACCAGCAGCTTCAGCACAGTCTATGGGTGGGGAGCAGCAAGGTGCCTGTGGGTCCAGGGCTGCACCCATCCCCTGCCCCGAGCCTGTCCCACATTAACCCCCCGTGTGCTCTGCCCTGGCGCAGCCTACCACAATGGCACTGCTGGCCCCGGTGGACAGGAAGATGTTGTTGGGGTCTGCTGGGATCCCTCCATCGCGTCTCTTAATGTACTGTGCCACATCCTCGCGGATCAGCTGGATGCCAGAGCTGATGCTATAGGCCCCTGGTCCCGGGCCAAGCAGAGCAGAGGACGGGCCCACGAGGGTGATGAGTCCCCCTGGGGCCCTCCCAAGGGAAATACCCCACTCTGTTCTCTGGAGCTTGAGCCTGCCTGCCACCTGTACTCACCCAGGCTGTGGCCCCCACATGCCTGCAGTATGCGCTGGGCCCTTCTCTTGGCATCCTCTGGGAAGTCAGGACTGCTTAGGAGATCCGGGTAAACGCAGAGGGCCAGGACCTGGGAGGAGAGAACTGAGGCCAGGGGACATGGATTAAAGGGGTCATCACAGACAGTGCAGGAATCTTACCTGGCGCAAAAATGTGATGGGCCTCTGCCCCATGGCCTGTGCATCCCCGATGTTGGCTCGGATGACCTCAGTAAAGGGTTTCTTCACACCCTGGAAGAGAAGGCAAACAGGCAATGAGATTGGGCAAACACCCGTAAAGCCCTTGTCTCATGTGCTACTGGAATCCAGCAAGAGGGACCAGAGGGCTGGGCCATACCTGGCGTAGCTCCTGTTCCAGCTCCAAGGCACGCAGCACTATAGGGCCACGCACTGCATATTCCACTCTCTGCACACATGGGTTCATGGTGTCCAGTGTCAGCACCTTCTCCTTCAGCCCATTCCTTGCTGCCTGACTCTGGGCACCTGCTCTCAGGGCCATGACTGCTCAGACCAGATAGGAAAGTAGCTCAGGAGGCAGCAGGCCCAGAAGTAAGAGTGGAGACAGCAGGATCCAGGATCATGGGATCAGGGCTAGATAGGACCCTAAGTAGAGGGCACCTTCTTTACTGCAGCCTGCTGTCCCCACTGAAAGGGACAGAAAGGGCTGAGAAGCTAGAACGGCCTGGGCTCCGCCCCAGTCTGGGCACAGTTCTGCCCCAGGGAGCCAGAGGGAGTGTGTGAGGTGGCAGGCGGGGCTTGGGACAGGGCCCAGTGTCCGCCCAATGTGCCCACAACAGGGAGCAGGAGACCCACATGGGGGGTAAGGACAGACGGACTGGGTGTTGGGGGAGGGGAGTACCTAGGCTCAGCACCTAAGCCTAGTGTCCTTGAGGAGTGGGCAGAGCTGAGAAGGGATGACCACATTACCCCCAAGGTGACAATGGCGTCAAGGGCCACTGGATATTTAATCTAGCAAGGCACTGCTGAGACCTAGTCTTTTCAGCAACCCCATCTTTGCTTAGGCCAGCAGACCTGTCTCCTTGGTAACTGGGCCAGGCCTTAGGAATCCTGGGGGGTGATGGGGGAGGGGAGAGAGTTCACACTCTGGGTTCCACTAGCCAGTGGTCACTGCCTGGTGGCTGCAGAAACTCTGGGGTTGGTGGACCTTGGTCCCTAAACAACACTGCAAGATGTTAGGGGGAGGGGGAGAAGGCTGGATGTGGGGCAGGCCAGCCCTAGACCCTCAGACACCTCACCCTGGGCTGCTCAGAGCTGCCCTCGTGCCCTTTCAACACACATTAGCTGGGGGTTGTCCTTGGAGCCACACCCAAGGCCCAGGGTAATCTTAACGTTCCTTCCCTCTTGCTCTTGATTGGTAGAAAGAAGAAATGAGCTACCATAGGCTGTCACAGCCCCACCTCCACAGGCTCTGAAGGGAGTCTGAGAGGCTGTGCTCAGAGTTGGCCCGCCCTCGTGGCATCAAGGCCTATGTGACCAAGGGTCAGGGAGCCAGCCCGCTGAGTTGAGCAGTTGGCAGCTGGTCAGACCCAAGGGTAGCCTTGCTCTTTTGCTTCTGTAGGCTCAAAGAAGCCACCAGGAGCCCTGGGTGGGATTCATACTCACAAACACATCTCTCACCTTGGACCTTGTTTCTACTGCCACAATGACCTCCTAGCTCATAGGCCATAGCACAGGTCACTGTGGACCTGGCCTCAGGCAGAGCTAGCCACTGCCCGCCTCCTGGCAGCAAGGTCCAAGTGGCAGCTGTACTAGCATGTGGACCTTAGGCAGCTGTACCGCCCCACTCACTAAATTTAACCAGCAGCCAACCCCTGGCCCTCCCCCAACCCAGCTAAGGACACCAGCCCTCCAATAACAGATGCTAGAGAGAGGGAGGGCCCAGGAGACATAGGGTTGACTAGGGTGGTCAAAAAGAGGAGCCTTCAGGAGGCTGAACCTGGCAAATGAGGGTGTAGGTGAAGGCTAGGCTTCTTGTACAGTGGCTGTGGGCCTCCCTCCCACACAAGCGAGCCCCAGCGTGCACCTACAGGCCTGGGTGCTCGTGGGCATGGGTGGCAGCCAACACAGCCACATGGTCTGCCCCTCCCCAGCTGAGACACAGGAAGACTTGGTGGCAAACAGCCCTTTATCAAGAGTCACAGGATAAAGTCTTTGCAGCCAATGTTGCAGGTATGGCTCTGCCACAGATCCATCCCTGAGAGAAGGCCAGTGTCCCGGGAGGGGGAAGCTGTAGAGACTACACTAGCTGATCTACCCAGATCTACTCAGCCCTGGTGGCCAAGCAAAGTTGCCTACCATGAACAGATGATTGGATAATGCTCTCAGCCCTCCAGCTTGAGGCCCCTAAAGGGCCCCTCTCACCCTGATGCATTGTTCCCAGCCAGCTCAGTGTAAGTGGCCAACTACTTGTCACCTATAGCAGCCCAGACCAAAGCTGGCAGTCAGGCCCAGTATCAGGGCTGTGTGCCAGGAACAGCCAGGAAGTGTCTGATGCCAGCCTTGTGCCTTTTCTGCCCCACTGGCTATAGCCCAGGAGTTCTGTGGAAAACACCACTTCCCTTTCCAGGCCAGAGTCCTGGTCCCTCTGCATGGACACCCTCAGCCCTGGCCCGAAAGGGTTTCCTGACAAAGCACCCTGTTGTCCTCAGGGAAGCACAGAGTTACAGAGGAGCCTCCAGGAGGCTGAACCTGGCAAATGAGGGTGTAGGTGAAGGCTAGGCTTCTTGTACAGTGGCTGTGGGCCTCCCTCCCACACAAGCGAGCCCCAGCGTGCACCTACAGGCCTGGGTGCTCGTGGGCATGGGTGGCAGCCAACACAGCCACATGGTCTGCCCCTCCCCAGCTGAGACACAGGAAGACTTGGTGGCAAACAGCCCTTTATCAAGAGTCACAGAATAAAGTCTTTGCAGCCGATGTTGCAGGTATGGCTCTGCCACAGATCCATCCCTGAGAGAAGGCCAGTGTCCTGGGAGGGGGAAGCTGTGGAGACTACACTAGCTGCTTTCCTGCAGTGCCAGGGCACATACTCTGGCTGGGCCTGGGGATGGGACCCTGCCACCTTGAGCACTGGCCCTCACATGAGGAGGCAGCAGGGCCTCTTTTCCATATGAGCCTCTTCTGAAGGGGCTGTGAGCTTGAGCAGGGGTGGGTCCCCGCCTGCCCTGGAGCCACAGCCTGGATGGGAGGTCTCAGTGTCAGTAGGCAGGCTAGGCTCAGGGGTCTCAGACCCCTCAGGTGACAGTTGTAATAGCTTGGCAGCAGCTCGCTGGCGCTTGAGATCTGCCAGAGTTTGATGGGCCTTGTCTCGGACCAGGTTGTTGGAGGCCATGCTGTCCAGTGGGCTCAGTTGGTAGGAGACCCTCCGGTCCAGCCGCTTGGAGTACAGGTGCCGCCCTGGGGGGCCCTCTACCTGGCCATTGTGTGACCTGGCCATGTCGGGGTCATCTTCCTGGGGACAGAACCAAGACCCCAGAAGACATCAGGAAGTACCCCCTTTTCACCTGCCCCAGCCTTAGGCACTAGGCTGTGAGGTTGAGAAGGGACAGACATGAGGGGTGAGGGTTGCAGCACATCCAGGGCAGGATCCTGGTCCTACCCCTTCCACAAGGAGTCTAGTACTGATGGAGATGGGGGCACTAAAGACAAGTCCCACTGCAGGCCCTCACATCAAGGCCATTTAAAAGATGGGGCTGCTGGGCATGAAGCACACAGCTGTAATTCCAGCACTGGGGAGGCTGAGGCAGGAGGATTATCACAAATTCAAGGCCAGCCTGGACTACATAGTGAGTTCAAGGCCAGCCTGAACTATGTATCGGAACCTTGTCTCAAAAACAAACAAACAAAAAAGATGGGGCAGTGTGTGGGCTGGGTCTCACCTCTGGGGGTGGAAGCTGGAGCTCAGCATCTGTCTGGCGGTCTTCATCATCCTCCAGTGGCTCTGGGCTGGTGGGTTGTGGTTGTTGCCACACAATGGCCTCCTGGGCATGCTCCTTGCGGTACAAGTTGGTGCGCTGGGTCAGGCTCACCCGTCTCACCACCTTCCTGGGGGAAAAGGGACAGGATGACAAAGGGACTCTGCCCAGAGTTCTTTGGTTAGCTCCTGCCAGATGACAGTTCTGAGGGCAAAGGGTCAAGCAGTGTTCTAGGTAAGTGGCTCACCCTCGGCTGCCTGCACTGGAAGTGCGGCGGCGCAGGAGGGAACGCTGACGGCCCTGGCCTCGCAAAAGTGCATCATGCTTGTGCTTCAGCTCCAGCAGCTTGGCCCGCACTTCCTCATCCCCACACACATCTGAGGAGAGGTGGGCACAGGTGTCATAAATACCCTTCCCACCACCCCCTCTCACCAGTGGAGGCTGCCTTGTGTGCTCACCTAGGGGTGTCTCATCCATCAGGGACTTCCCGTTCAGATCAGCCCCATGGGCCACAAGCAGCTCTGCCAGATGCACCTGTGGGCCAGTTAGCCAGGCCTGTAGAGTGCTCACACGAAAGCCAGGAGCCCCTGCCCACCTCCTCCTGCCCAAGCTCACCTGGCCCCAGTAGGCTGCAGCATGCAATGGCTCCCAGCCATCTCGGTCCTTGGCGCTCAGGCTGGCTCCATGCTCCAGCAGCAGGGCAGCCACCTCACTGAATCCATTGGCAGCGGCAATGTGCAGCTATAGGGCAAGCCACCCATCCCTGAATCCTTACCCCATACCCCTTTGGCAGAAAGCCCCCCAGTCCCATGGCAGACCCACTGACACGACCCAGAATCCTCACCAGTGTGGCTCCATGGTCCAGGGGGTCATTGAGATCAGCCCCAGTATGCAGCAGGCCCTGGAGGTCATCCAGCATGCGCAGCTCTGGCACTGTGCGGGCTTCCTCAATGCTGCCCTGGGTGATGCCTGTGGGGCAGCAGGCTAAGAGAGAGAACACCGAGGCTCTACCCTGTAGGCAGTCATGGCACACTTACCTTGGCTAGCCATGGCAGTCTCCAGGAAGTCCAGTGTCTGCTCGTCCTCACACAGGTCATAGGGCATGTTTCCGTCGGTGTTAACTGCCAGGAGGTCTGCACCACTGCAAAGAAGATGGACAAGGCCCTGGCCTCAGGACCCCTTCTCATACTCCATACTCCTCACTCAGGGAGTCCCCAGTTCACTTTTAAAAGGTCCTCTTGAAGAGTCCTTCAGCCTAGCACTGCCCGAGGATATGTAGGCTGGGACAGGTAGCCTCTGGTCCATGTGGCCAGCCCTTACCCTCAATCCTGTCCCTAAGCCAGAGTGGCCATCCTATATTCTCCCTATCTACCCCCACAAATACATTGGGTATAGTTGCAGTGGGTGTGCAAGGATTCTACTGAAGCCCCAAATAGCAGGGGAAGCAGGCCAGGGTACTGGGGAGCACAAAACACAGAGGAGGTCTTCATGTGCCATGGAGGAGGAGGGCCAGGGGATATCTAGGGCTTACAGCCCACTTACAGTCCATCACCAGCTCCCAGAGGAGCCCTAGGGTCCTGCCAGTGGCACCCCCACCTCCAAGGAGGCACTGCTATGTGAAGAACAGTCTTGAGAAGCATGGAACTGGGAAAAGGAAGCAGAGGCCCCTGAACCTGGTGTAGCCACCAGCCTTGCCTGCTCTACCTTCATCCTGCCCCCTTCCAGTCCACCTGGAACCTTTGCTCCCCTTTTCCTTACCAATTCTACCCTCAATACTGCAGACCCAGAAGGCCCTGGAGTTGGAGGTCCAGCCTGCCAGTCAGATCTAAGAGCATGCTGAGCACACATTCATTCCCCAGAATCCCAGGCAAGGTCAGCAGAGGAAGTGGGGACACAGGAATTCGGGACTGGGGGAGCTATGTAAAGGAGCCACTTGACCTTCCGTTGGCGAGTAAGACTGTCCCTATCAGAGGTGCAGTGGGTCATACCGGGAGATGAGGAGCTCCACCAGGTGCAAATGGCCACAGGTGGCTGCAGCATGGAGAGGTGTCCAGCTCTCACTGTCGCGGGCATTGACATCAGCCCCAGCCTCCAGAAGCTGCTGCACCATCTCTTGGAAGTCATCTATGCAGCACTGCAAACAAGCACACTGAGTGGCCTGAGCCCCAGCCAGCCCCTAACCACCCCCAACACCATCCACAGGCTGACCTGGTGCAGTGCAGTCAGGCCATCCTCATTGGCCAGATCAGGGCTGACCCCATTCCTGAGGAACTGGCAGACTGTAAGAAGTGGAAGGTGAGTTTGGGTAAGGCCTGTGACTGTCCCATGCTACTGCCCAGGGCTAGGGAAGGGTGCAGAAGGATGATGCAGATGGCAGAGGGTATACAGGCTGAGGAGAACAGGGCATCTATCTGACCCAGGTAGGCTAGAAGCACAGTAACCCTACCCTCCCACACCATGGCCCCAGCTGCTCAGACCCCAGAACATGAAGCTCCTACGTCCTAGAGCAGTCAAAGTGAACCTATGGCATGTGTATCACAGCCTGCTGTTTGTATCCCTGAAAGTTCTAAAAGGTTCGCTGTCATTGGCCTAAAGTATGAGCACAGGAGGCAGCAGCTCCCTCAATAGTCTGCCCAGCCCCAGCACAAGAATCATCCGCACCCTCCACTCCTCACAGGCTACCAGCTACAGCCTCACAAGCAGTGCCCATTTCCCTTTCTTCACTCCCTACAGCCCTCTGCCCCAGGGGACACAGGAAAAGCCCTCAAGAGACATCAAGATGCCCCTTCTTCTAGACCCTAGATCCCTGCACACAGTGCAGCTGCAAACACCACGACTAGGAAAGGAATGGGCAGCTGAAAGGCCAGGGCTGTCTCAGGCTAAAAAGTTCTGATGGAGAGGAAGGAGCCAAAGGCAGGGCCTAGGACTGTGT